ATGGCGGCCGTTGGGCTCGGGCAGCGGAGGCCCACCCCTGGCGGAGCCGGGCCTCAGCGGCAGCCGCACGGCCCTGCCAGCCCAAACCCTGCCAGGCACGTCCCAGACCCGCACCCACTGGATGACCGCAGCCGCCGCTAGCCCCGGCCGCTTCCCTTGGCCGGAGGGGCACATCGCGCACCCCAGGGGCTTCGACCCGGCCGTACAGCCGGCGTCTCACAACCAAGGGCTCAAGGCTCAGCAGGCCCGCCTGCGCTTGAGCATGTACGGGATCGAGCTGCGCAAACTCCTCACCGCTCTGCAGACGTACGTGAGCACTCAGGTGCAGAACCGCCCGTCCACCGTTGGCGGGGCTCTGCAGCACGCGCTCACCTGCTTTGAGGGCGACGACCAGGCGCACGTGAGCGGCTCCATGCACCTCATCGCGGGCGATCTCATGCACGCGCTCCCCCCAGCCCAGCGTTACGACGGTGCTTACCTGCACCCGGACCAGGCAGGCGCTGTCGGGGCTGTCATCGCTTACAGCGTGCGGTCGCACCTGTACAAGAGGCAGCCCGAGCGGGATGTGACCGTCCTGCGTGCTATCCGCCAGGGGCAGGATTCCGCCACCTGCGCGCGGGTGGACCGATGGGAGCCCCCGAGCGAGGCCTTGGAGCGGTTCATGATGCTCGCCCGCGACCCCCGCGTCCAGACACGCGTCTCCGTGACGGATATGCTCAACCTGATCGGCAACATGCTGCACAGGCGCCTCAACCAAGACTGGCGCCTGATCCGGCAGATGCACATGAGCGGGCGCGTAGCCACCGACAATGACCACGCGGCCATGCTGGGTGCGCTTGAGACAGAGGCCAAGCACATCCTGGACGAGGCGTGGGACGCTTACCTTGCCCACCTCCCCGAGGGTGACCAACGCGCCCAGCTGGAGCCCGAGCCCGCCGCTGCAGCCGTTCCCCGGCGGCCGCACGGCCCCCGTGCGGCTGCGGACGCCACCCTCATAGAGGGGGATGAGGGGGAGGACCCCATGACTGCTGCGCTGGCCGCCCTGGCGACCCTTGCGGCTGCCGCAGCGGTGCCGGCCGGCCGCCAGCGTCTCAATGGTATTCTTGCAGCAGCAGCCGGCGCCAGCTCCGCCCCGCCTCCCGCCGTCGCGGCGCCCGCGGGAGGGGCCGTGCAGCGTACGACCGCACGCGCCGCCCCCCCGCAGGACC